CCACCCCACGTTCCCGCCTCTTTCCTACTACAGAGACAATACATGTAGCGTATATGAAGAGGTTATTGATACCACGTGCAAACATGACGGCCTTTTTGGATGCATCCTTCTCCATCTGTGATTTAAGTGATAGCTGACAAAGCTACTTTCAAATCACAGGTAAGGATATGAAGAAGAGGAAAGGAGAAGTGGTTGACCAGGAGGGAAACATTTTGAAAAAGGCAAAGGTCTCTGACTTCGCGGAGGCGGAGGAAAACAATAACAACAAACATAGTCAACTGGTACGCACTGTGAAAGTGTTATTACAGAAAGAGCAAACAAGGTTGTCTGGTATGTTGAAGGTCTATATTCAATGCATGTCTTGTTGTTTTGAGGTACATGTATGGAATTGGAATTGCAATTTTGTGTCTCAGATGATGTGTAAAAGTTGTATCCCGGCTGTTCAAAGTCAGATAGCCCTATCCACTGGAAATATTATTATCCGACGGATGAGTGTTAGGGAAACCAATTACGGTATACACAAGATAGAGATTTATCCAGTGGATAGCGTTATTCACCCTTCAAACAACTCAGTCAGGCCCAGCTCACTCACAGTGGCCATTCTTATAGACAATAAAAAAAGGCATTTACCTCGTGTACCTGACACAGGTGACGTAAAACAAAAGAACAAAACCAGGAAACATTAAGGTGACTCGACCCAGTTTTTTGGGGGGGGTACCATCCTACTTTGAAGCTCTCTGGTATCCCCACCTTTACTTTTATCGCAAGTCTAACACATAGAATGGATAACATATAGATCAATCTACAATATCACAGAAAATTTTTGGCGATCGGAGTAAATGTCACGTGGTTATAATGCCACGCCCCTTTGAGGTCTGAGTCGAAAATCTGCTGTTGCCGGCATTTTTTCGTGAAAATCTCTCGGCTACACATAGTGCGCATTAATGCCTTGCACTGAACAGAGTTTCACCAAAATCGCAAAGACCCAATTCGAGAAATTCAGCAGTTTCCAAATTTAGGACATAATTTATGCGAAAATGATAAGTAATTATAAGTAATTTTACCCTCGGTAACTTGAATCCTCGATAACTCAAACCTCCCACTAAGTCGAAGTAATTTTTGTTTCCCCTCAGATCATTTCTATATAAAGTTACCCTCAATAACTCGAACCATGTTTTGAGCGCTTATAAAGTCAGGAAAAAAAACAGTGTACTGGCGTCCAAAACATTGAATTCTGAATTTACCATTGACGTGTTGTAGGCATATAGCTTACTAGTGGAGGCTAATGTTGTTTGTCACAAAATAATGTAACATGAAACAGCTTTGCTTCTCAAAACAGTTAAATGCATGCTCTATTTAGGCTTTGTATTTTTATGTTAAGTTTTGATTTATATCCCAGAAGCATTGTTCCATTTTAACTTAACATTTTTACAGTTAAATGTGATCAATATGTTCACAATACTGTAAAAACTGGTTTTTCCTTTGCTTTGGGCTATTTGCCTCGAGTTTCCAATAACTCAAACTCTCGATAACTTGAACTTTTTTCAATTTCCCATGAAGGTTCGAGTTATCAGGAGTTGACTGTACTTTCTTTTATCACAGTATAGTTAGTCAGCACAGGCTCCAGTTGTTCCAACGTTGGATAGCGCTGTCCATCAGATAAATGGCTATCTATGGATGAGTGTTAGGGAGATCAATAAATATTGCATTATCCACTAAACAAAGATTTATCCAGTGGATAGCGTTATCCCCCTTTCGAACTACTCAGGGCCCAGGTTACTTAGTATAGTTACAGTGAGTAATGTCCTTGTGGCATTTATTTTGGTGATATTATTTTTATTGAGGTTTGTCCAAGCTACGCGATGCACTTAAAGAGTCACAAAACAAGGAAAGACTGACATGCATTGTCCAGGAAGGTGGAGAATTTCATGAGGTTTTCAAGATTTTAGAAGGAGGCCGACACAGTCTTTCCCAGCTTGAGGTACATGTATTACTGTAAACTTCTATAATGCTACTGCAAACTGAAAGTCAAAATTGGTGCTCTAAAGTCACTATTGCATCTTTATCATGTACAGTACATGTACAGGAATGAAAAAAGTTAACTGTGTCATGACTTATCAAGCTGTGAAAGGTACAGAAGTAGCCATTCATTTGAGAGAATTTGCATGAAAAGTAGACTGATAGATTTATTTTATAAATTATAATATAATTATTTTATTCCAGATTGCTCAGTAATAAGCTGTGGTACAATCATGTAAAGCCTGGAAACTACCATAATGATTGTACCATTTTCTGAGGAAAGCCAATTGATCTGGATGATCTTTAGAAACCCGCTTTACAATAGGAGTGAAGTTGATCTCAGTAATCTTTTTACGTTAAGGCTGCTGTTTTGCACTTACAGACTTTAGAAATCAAAATTACATTTTTAGTTCTATTTTTGTACTAAAAGCCTGTCTGTTACATGTACTCAGAAGAGCAGTCTCAATTTGTGGTTATTTACCTGTATAATATCAATAAAATTTTCTTTCTCAGATCCAAGCATGCCTGGAAATCCTAGAGAGTGTTCTGCTCTTTACTGCAGGAGACAAGCAGTTATCTACCAGAACAGGGATGGCAATAGTACAGCAAGTGCTGCAAAACCATATAAAACTTCTGTACACATGTCTTCATCCAGGGAATCCCCCTGATGTTATCATGACTACTCTAAGGTTGCTAACAGCCATGGTAACACAAGGAATGACAGCAGCAAGAGAAGTTCAAAGGTCATTTGATTTTACTTTGAAGGCCATTGGTGCACTACCTAACAAACGTGACCCAAAGGTAAGTAACATGTGCTCTACTAAGGTCAGAATTGTATCAAATAAACCAGAGGCAGTCCTGCTCTGGCCTCTTGCTGGATTCGTCGATGTAGTTGTCGCAAGTTCAAATCCTCGGCCACACTTGTATATTTGTAAATACTCAACTGGTTGGGGTTTTTGATCCTATTATGTGCTATTTTGATTTTTTGTTTCTATTATTATTTGAGTGGAATGTTTATCAACTAGCTGGATAAGCTAATTGCACTTTTCACTATAAACAAGTAATTTTAACCGTGGCAGGATTAGCTCAGTCGGTAGAGCGTTTGACTGCAGAGCGGGAGGTCGCGGGTTCGATTCCCGGGGCCGGACCATTACTCAGGGTCTTAAAATGACTGAGAAATGAAGGTACTTCCTTTGCACTGCAAGCGGCGAGACCTTCGCGTGGCTCGGATGACCACGTAAAATGACGGTCCCGTCTCCATCAGGAGATGTAAAAATAGTGTCCCCAATTAGCACTTTCGTGCTAAATACATTGACACTCAAATAAAGTGCTTTTTTTTTTTTTTTTTTTTTTTAACCTTTTATATTTATTAAGTCTTGTATTTTCAGGACCATCGAACAAGAACAAAACAACAACTTTACTATTCCCCATATTACTGTTTCCCATACAACAAAAGTGCAAGAATTAATTTACTGGTACAATATGATTGTAACAAAAGTAAAAATACTAAAAAGGGTTTTGACACTGTTTAACCAAATATGTAGGTCATAAGAATAATAATTTTTTATAAAGNTTTAACCTTTTATATTTATTAAGTCTTGTATTTTCAGGACCATCGAACAAGAACAAAACAACAACTTTACTATTCCCCATATTACTGTTTCCCATACAACAAAAGTGCAAGAATTAATTTACTGGTACAATATGATTGTAACAAAAGTAAAAATACTAAAAAGGGTTTTGACACTGCTTAACCAAATATGTAGGTCATAAGAATAATAATTTTTTATAAAGAAAATGATTCCTGATAATTATAAAATTGCCTTGGTTTTTTTAAAGCAAATTTGCCTGACATAGAATAAAAAATGTCATAGAATAGTGTAGGAATAATATGCACATTTGGTATATTTATATTAACATTGTCAATGATAATTCTTAGTAAATACCAGTAGAATGATGTGTGTGGAAAGAAGGACTCAGAAAAAAAAGTTAATTTTTCAAGGTCAAGAAGGGAATTAAACCCACAAACCTTCTAGACACTAGTCAGATGGTTTAAATTAACATCTAAGCCACTGAGAACACTGGTGATGAGCAGGTCATTTGTGGGCTGACATAATTATTGGCATTTCACAGTCTTATTATGTCAAATGAACACATGAATCTTGCATGAATATTTGAAACTTCCTGTCTTTTTTAGCCAGCTCAAGATGTAAGGACATGCTTCATTTACTTCTGTCTTTCATTTTTGATGTTTGGCGACCTAGCTGTCATGAAGCAGATCCTAGAACTCAAAGGTGTGTAACCTATCCATTGTTTTGTTTATTCTTTAGGAAATAATTCAATATTTAATTTTCTTTATAAAAATTTGTATTGTATTGTGCATGCACTAACATCAAGCACCTTCATAGAATATTAAAGCAGGATAATAAATAAAACAGCCATTTAAGCCTGCACTTAAATGTTTTGAAAATAAACTGATGTGTGGGTTTGCAAAAATTAGACTACATGTAAGTTAGCAGCCCCACCTCGTGAAGGGCAGGTTACAGATCTATGCAGCATTTTTCCAGTGTGGTAATTAATAAAAAATTAAATGTGTCTAATAATTTATGGTTGAAATATAGTGTAGCAATTTTAAGTGATATACTGTAAGCAAAAACATGTGTAGTCAAATTTGTAATCATAGCTTGGGGATTTCAAGCAGTACAAAACAAAGTATTTTTGGAGTTACATGTTGTATGTTTGTCTTACTTGTCTGTCAAGTTTTTAGTCATCTAGGATGATCAGACGACTGCAAATACGGATCCCTGTTATTACACTGTACATTACTACAATTTTAGATCTCTTATAGACTTTGATATGTGTTCTTCATATTTGGAACTATTTTGAGAGTGTTTTCATAAGGGTAGAGAAACGCTTTTTATCATCTGTAATCTATATTTAAACTCATGTGAACCTGATACTCAATTTGTTGAAGAGTCTGTTCAAGAATTGAGACTCACAGCAGATTGACTAATCACTCTTGAACAGTACTTTGACATAGAACCTCTGCTGCACATACATGCTTGTTTCTTGAATTCTTGTTCTTCTTTCCTCCTTGCTAGGATTCATTCAAATAATAATGAAAGGACTGTCATCTGATGTGCCTCATGTGGTTCATGTTGTGTTATCCACTCTTCAAACAAGAGTAAGTGTCCTTCAACACTACAGGGCAATACCCTTATTTTCATCAGTTTATCCTCATTAGTTTGTTTTATTTAACTACAACTACATGAAAACCCTTTTGGCTCATGCACTGTGACTTCAGCACTGTAAATTACACTCTACTTTATTTAGTGTCTACAAGCAGTGGTTTTTAATGAACAGGAAGTTGATTTCTTACACATGTATTTTCCAAGATGGGAGGTACAAAGTAGATTACACTTAACTTAGTTATAGCTTATTGTTTTGTAAATTAGGTAATAACTTAGGGGACAAAAAAGGTCCCATCCTGTTGTCCCAGACAAGTAGTTTTTCTTGCTTGGCAAGTATTACCATTAAAGCTCACTTGCCCCATCTAAATCATTAGCTAAGACTGCAAGCAAGCAGTTACCCCAGGCAAGCAAAAACGAAAGAGATTCTTGCCGAAAGTGCAAGCTGTGTGTACAATTCAAGTTTGTTCAAGTGCTGTTATTATTGATCTTAATAATAATATTATTATATTTTTGACGGAATATTTTGCAATATCAGCTCAGTTGTTAAAAAGCAATAAATTTACTAACTTGGAACAAACGCCACTGAATGGTAGTCATCAGTTACCAGCACCATACAAACAACGTAATATTGACGGAATCAAGCAAAACTAATTACAAGAGAACGACTGGACAACTGACAATTTGACCAATGATAAACAACTGTTTAACTGTGACAATAGACAGACTGAAACACACCAATGACATTACGAGTCTTCATAGCCAATAATATCACGGCGTAACTAACAGACGATGTCGCGTTCCCAGTGTCGTAGACGCGTGGCGTTAGGCACTGGAGTTCGCCAGGTCAACCACAGTGAAGCACTAGGCGGTCAGCAAGATTCAATGGCGTTTATTAAAATC